GGGTGATTGTGAAAGGATATGCGTGAGATAGAGGAGGGCTTGATCACATTCCTCGGTCCACTCGAAAGCTGCCTCCTTGCATAGGAGTTTGAAAAATGGAAGGGCGTGTTGAGCGGATTTCGCCACGAAATGGGAGAGTGAAGCGAGCTTGCCGTTTAGGACTTGTATGGATTTTTTTGAAATAAGTGTAGGGAGGTCGGAGAACGCCCGACACTTGTTGCGGTTGGCCTCAATTCCTCGTTCTGTTAGATAAAAATCGAGGAACTTTCCCGCCTTAACCCCGAAAGTGCATTTCTCGGGGTTGAACCTCATTCTACATTGCCTTGCTTGGGCGAAGACTTTTCTGAGGTGGGCAGCATGGTCGGTGTCTCCTCAAGATTTGACGATCATTTCGTCCATGTATACCTCGAGCATGTCTCCAATCTCGTTACTGAAGACTATTTATCATCCGCTGGCACGTCGCCCCTGCGTTTTTCAGACCGAAGGGCATTACGTTGTAGTAGTAATTGCATGAGCTAGTCATGAAAGTGGTGCAATGTTTGTCGCTCATTGCCATTGGGATTTGGTTATAGCCCGAATAGGCGTCCATGAAAGATAGAATTTTATAGCCGGCCAAATTGTCGACCAACATGTCAATATTAGGTAAGGGGAATGAATCTTTGGGGCATGCCCGGTTAAGATCGGTATAGTCAACACACATACGCCATTTTCGATTATTCTTTTTAACAAGTATAACATTTGACAGCCAGGTTGAATATCGGGCTTCAGAAATAAAATTTGCCTCTAGGAGGTCTTTTACAGCTTTTTCAGCAGCCTCCGTTTTCTCGGGGGACTGCCTACGCCTACATTGTACTATTACCCTAACGATTGGATCGATGGTCAGGTGGTGACAGGCGACCTCGGGGTCGAGTCCGGGCATCTCCACGGTGCTCCACACAAACAAATATGTGTTTTCCCTCAAATAAGCCTTGATCTGCTTCCTCACCAGGTCGTGGAGTCTGGTGCCGATCTTCACCCCTTTGCGTTGGTCTTCTCCAAGGGGGACGAGCTCAAAGTCTCCATCCGGAATTGGTCAGAGGAGTCCCTGCTCTCCGTTGGGCGCTTCATCTTGGTCGAAGCGGGTTTCCAATGAGATTGAGTCGACCTTTGGAGGAGCTCTCTGTTCTTCCGTCTTGACGGGATGTGGCTCTGGTCGTGCTATTGTGGCTCTCTTTGTGGGTCGTGCTCTAGTGTCGAATGTACTCTATCCCTTTGACGCTGCGTTGAAGCATCTTCGGGCAGCTGCTAGGTCGCCATAGATGGTGGCGACGCATCCTCTCTTTATGTAGAATTTCATCTTTAGATGGACGATGGAGGGAACCGTGGTCAGTTTCTCCAGTGTTAGTCTCCCCAGGATACAGTTGTAGAGAGATGGGTAGTCAATGACCAGAAAGCGCACCTTGACTTTCCTGGTGGTTGTATCCTTGCTGAAGGTGACCAAGAGCTCCATGTACCCCCAAGGCTTGGAGGTCGTGCAGTTGAAGCCCTGTAGGTCGGACCCCACATATGGTGAGAGATGGGTGTCATCGAGCTGTAGGGTTCAGAAGAGTTAGGTGTACATCACGTCGACGGAACTCCCTTCGTCGACCAAAACACGATGAATGTTAAAGTTAACCATTCTCACCCTAACCAGAAGAGGGGTGGCTGAGTTTGGGGCCCCTCTGGGAAATTCTTCAAGGTAGAAGGTAATCGGCTCCGATCTGCCCTTAACCCTCTTAAAAGTCACCGTTTATGAGGGGCCGCGTCGACCAGCTCGTCCAACTTCCTCTTCGCAGATTTTATGGTTATACCATTGAATCCCCCACCATTTATGACCATGGCAGAGGGGAACCTTTCCCACCTACTGTGCATGGTCAGAGGCTCTTCGATATCTTTGGGGACATAGAAGTCCTCCAGTCTTGTAATGGAGAATGATGTCTGGATGGGGACCGTCTCGTCAGATGGTCGGGCATCCTCCTCAATCTCCTTCGTGTCGCGGGCAACTCGATGAGGGGCGTCTCTGCACCGATATTTCCCGAGTCTTCCCCTGTGATGAGGGTCTCAATAGCATCTTTGAGACTGACACAATCTTCAGTCAAGTGTTTATGACTTCGATGATATTGGAAGTATTTGCTCTGATCAACCCCGAGCTTGGTAGGAGCGGAGCGAGGACGCTTGGCGCCACCGTCCTTGAAATCAGTGTTAGCGCACTCTGCCAATATGCGCTACCGAGAAGCTGTCAGCGGAGTGTACTCAGTAAACCGCCCCGAGGGTCCTCTTTGCTCGCGAGGATCTCGAGGTTTGTCATCCCTCCTCTTCTCGCTAGTTCTTCGAGGAGGGCCGGAATCTTATTGTCATAGATTACTGGTTGATCCACAATTCCTGGGGTCCTAGGCTATGTTATCCGCTTCCCTCTCCTTATAGTCCATGTAGGCTCTAGCCTCCTCGAGGAGAGCATCGAATGTCTGCGGTGGTTCGATGCCAACGGATTTTCCGAACTCAGTGCCCAGGAGGAGGCCCCTCTCGAGCAGGTATCTCTTCATATGATCGGTGCAGGGGACCTGAATGGCCTCACAATTGAACCCATCAATAAACTCCCGGAGGGTCTCGTCTTGTCTCTGGATGATTGCCTCGAGGGCCGCTTCAGTCTTTGGATGTCGACGTGAAGCAGTGAATGAACTGATGAACTGGTTTTTTAATTCCTCCAGGAGGTAATTGACCCCGGGGCGAGGCTCTTGTACCAGTCTATTGTGGCCTTTCTCAAAGTCGTGGGGAACAACCGACATTTAATTGGTCCCTCGATGTTATGGTAATGCAGCATTGCCTCAAACCCGTCGATGTGGTCGATTGGGTTGACTATGCTGTCGTGCTCCTTCAGATGGGGAGGTTTTTCCACACCTGGGGGGATGGGTGCCTCCATAATAGCTTATGACAAGGGATCGCGGGGGTCATCCTCGTCACTTTTGTCTGGTGAGCGAGAAGGAGATCGGTTGTAGTGGCGGTTGTGATGGTGACCCTGGTCGCACGGAGGATTCCTCGGGCGGTGTGGTCGTTGGTCATTTCCCCTGTCCCTGTTTTCAGGGGGTCTTTACTCTTTGAGCGAGGGGATGCGATCACGTCTCCCCGTATCTACGGGCTGGTCCCTCTCCAATGCAAGGCGTCACCCGATTGGTCGGGGAGAGGGGTTTCGAGAGGCGTCACGCCTGCGTCTTTGCGGGGGAGATTGGGGATGTTCCTCTATCCGACGAGGAAGAGGAGAATGGGGCCTCCTATGTCTTTTAGGGGCTCTCTGAGAATCTTCGACCACCCTTAATCTCTCCCATTGGGAAAAGATCAAGAAGTTTATTTGATTTATTGCCGTGAACAATACCCTTGTCATGGCATCAGCACCCACGGGAACGCGGACCTCCTAGAACGCGGGTGGCTGGTGTTGCTGGAGAGGACGACGATCGTCTTCTAGCCGTCGGGACAGTGACGACGAATAGGAAGTCAACTAATCTTTGTACTCTGAGGGGACGAGAATATCACCGACGTGGCCGTTGTTGTTGCCGGCATTGAGGCCAATGGGACCAGCATTGTTGACTTCAATGTTGGGGTCAGCGACATTGTTGTTGACGTCGGCAACGTTGTTGTTTTCTGGCGTGCGATCAGCCATGACAATCAGAAAGTAGTTGAATTTGATTTTTTCTCGTGTGAATGGAAAACGGGGAAGCAAGTTTCCCACAGACGGCGCCACTGGTCGTACCTGACCAGAATGGACCGTCACAACTTGCTCCGAGCAGAATTTGAGAGTGAAGTGAGGGGTACCTGCAAGGCACTCTGATGCCAAAGTAAGTTTCAGAATGAGCAAGCAAGAGAGTAAGAAATGTTCAATACCTGACTCTCTCGAAAGAGAGAGTATTTATAGCCCCCGGCGTTGGGCCAATATCTCCTTATTAGGCTGGTCAAGCAGGCCCAACATGGAGACTGTCAGGTCCTACGTGAGTAGTGGGGACCCGCACGTGATCCCTTACCTGGATGACTTCCTCCGCAAGATCAGGAGGCAATGGATGCGGTCTTTCAGGGGCCACGAAGACTCCATGATATTCGAAGACGTCACAGTCAGCCCTACGAGGAGGATGCTCGCGAGGTTCCCCTCTTGGTCGCGGGAGTCACAGATACTCTCCGCCAGACGCGAGTTCGTGCAATGAGGTCAGTCTTAGTCGGGAAGGAAATCAGAGGTTGACCTCGAGGCCCCCTCTGACCAGTGGTGACCTTCCCCAAATTAAGTGAGTTCATCCCCATGCGGTGAGGTGGTCTCCTCGCGGGGGAGTGAAGTTGCCTCCTCGAGGATAGAGCTGGCCAATATATCCTGACCATATAATTAGGTTGGGTCTCACATGGAGTTGAGCCAAAGGCATGTCCAGTCCAAAATAATATTCATGTCAACATAAGAGTTATACTTTTAATTTAATTATTTAACTGTCAAAATTTAACCATTTATAATTATTTTTTTAAAAACTTAGATAAAATTCTTTAGGCGTAGTTGTTATTATTTTCTAATGTTAGTATGACAAATATATAATTTCCTATTACACATATAGGAACTATTTCTATTTTTACTTCTTAAGTAATATTCAAATATATTTATCATATTACCATTAAAAAATAATAACAACCGCATATAAATTATACTTAAGTTTTGTTCTTAAAAAAATAGAATATCATGGATTCAAATCTTAATCCAACAACTAAAGAACAAATTAAGTAACATTTATTTCATAAAGCTAAAACCTAATCTTTTGTATCAATCCAATTCATAATTGTGCACCTTTTATATATATATAATGAGAAGAAGAATAGAGACAGTTCATCACAATGGGGAGCATCGATAGAGCCAATGATATTGACAACACTCTTATCCAATCACTGTTGCAAAAACAGGTTTCAGAGGAAGAAGAAGAAATATTTGGGAAGAAGCTATGGATTGAAACGAAGAAACTATGGGTGATAGTCAAGCCTTCGCCGGACACCTAGGTGAAGTTCAACTCGCCTCCATCACCATCGCCAACACTGTCATCGTTGGCTTCAACTTTGGCCTCCTCGTAAGCTCTTCTTCCTACCATTATATTATGCTGCAATTTTCTTGAGAAATGATGTGATGTTTTCTATGATGGAAAATATAGTTGGGAATGGCAAGCGCGTTGGAGACACTTTGTGGACAAGCGTTTGGTGCAAAACGACATAACGTGTTAGGAATATATCTGCAAAGATCATGGATTGTTCTCTTCGTATGTTGTTTTCTTCTGTTGCCGTTTTATGTCTTTGCTACTCCATTTCTGAAACTCATAGGACAACCTCATGAGGTGGCGGAATCGAGTGGTATTGTAGCTATATGGCTTATACCATTGCATTTCAGTTTTGCGTTTCAGTTTCCTCTTCAGAGGTTTCTACAGTGCCAGCTGAAAACAGGTGTGATTGCATGGGTATCTTTGTTGGGTTTAGTGGTGAATGTTGTATTGAGTTGGTTGTTGGTTTATGTTTGGGATTTTGGGCTTATTGGTGCTGCAATAGCTTTGGATGTTTCATGGTGGGTATTGGTAATTGGGATGTTTGGGTACACAGTTTGTGGGGGTTGTCCTTTGACTTGGAATGGTTTTTCAATGGAAGCATTTTCTGGCCTTTGGGAATTCTTCAAACTCTCTCTTGCTTCAGGGGTGATGCTTTGTTTAGAGAATTGGTATTACAGGATACTGCTGCTTATGACAGGTCAGTTGGAAAACGCAACAGTTGCTGTTGATGCATTGTCTGTATGGTAAGTTATTAGTCACTAACAAGTATTTGAGATTTACAAGTTTTATATTTATTAGTTATTACAGTACTGGAATTGGTTTTGCAGTATGACTATCAATGGATGGGAAATGATGATTCCATTTGCCTTCTTTGCCGGTACCGGGTATGCTATAAATTACGGTTTTTTACTAGTCAATAACTAATACTTGTGTTGTGTTAAAAAACAAAAACAAATGAAGTACATAGCCGATCCAGGCCTCCAACAGACTACACAAACCAATAAACTAGGAGAACCAATAAAAAATCATAATCCATGTCCTTTTGTCTATCCTATTGTCCTAATAAAAGGTCCGAATAATCAGAATCAAATAAAAAATGATACTGTAAGCCAGCGAAATTAGAAACAAGACATTTAAAGAGTGATCTCCAGAGCAAGCAATTAATGATCTTTTAAAAACTTGCTGTACTTGATTTATTGCTGTTATTGTACAATATGATACTCCATATAGCATGCTGTACTTGATTTATTGCTGTTATTGTACAATATGATACTCCATATAGCATGCTGTCCATGATTTATTGCTGTGAGAGTAACCATGACTATCCATAAATACTTCATTAATGGAAACTGTGAAGGTTGGATGAGTTATTATCATGTGGGCTATGTACTTCATTGTGATTTTAACAAAGACAGATATCATTAATGGAAACTGAATGCATGTTATAAACAAGCATATAAACAAACACGTGCTAAAGTTATTCACAATTCATCAATATCAACTAACAACTCCATTGTCTATTTACCAAACATTGCCGAATGACAACCACTTGTTGAACTTGGAAACCTGTCGGTGGTGAGCTGGCTTTACTTGGAAAAAAACATTCTTTTGGCAGGCTAGTGTCTTAACTAAAAACTATTAAGATACTCTTGCACCCGGATATATTTATTTGATACGTTATATATATATATATATATATATATATATATATATATATATATATATATATATATATATATATATATATATATATATATATATGTAAAATAAATTATTTAATTATAAAATAAATAATTATTATATAAATTTAATTTAGTATATAAACATTAAAAAAATTAAAATACGAATCGTGTCCCTTGACATGCACATCAATCAAGACAAAATAAATAATTATTATATAAATTTAATTTATTATATAAACATACAAAACAACATGCGGGGAAAACAATAGAGATAAGGAGACTACGTGCCCCTCGACATGCACGACAACTAAGACAAAATAACAACTAATTTATATTCTCCGACACAGCTTGCAACCTCGTGCAGCTCGACAACAATATTGTGCTCCTCGGCACGCCGTGCAGCCTAACGTCGCTCGACATCCAATATGTATAAGATAGTCACGTAGAAAACTTCTTAAAACGACCACAACAACAATTTACAAATTTCCTGCCTAACGCTCAGAAGATACGGCAATCTAATGACCACATCTACATGTAATAAACTACAACTAACCTATTCATCGATTATACCAGACAACGCAAAACGATCACAACATAATAAACAGACAACTTTCTATAAAAGGTTCATTAATCATACGAGACAGTCATACGTCAACTCTCTAATCGACCACAACATAGAAAACAGACAACTTCGATAACAGATTCAGAAACACCGATGCGCAACAGTCATAAATAGATAAATTCCCACATAATACACATCATAAATCTCATTATACGGTCAAAACCCCATCCTTACATGGATTGAAGGCCTCTCTCCAAAATTTCCAGCCGGCAGCCTTGCCTTGCTCTGCTCGACAACCATGCAACTTTGCTCGAAAACCGTGCAACCTTGCTCCTCTTCTGCGCAACTTTCACGGTCACGCACAAGACTTCTTATTCTATCAAATAACCAAATTCTTGTGTCAGCTTACCTTATAACATCAATTCTACTAGGCCTAACCTACACACCCCCAATTTACTACTTCCAACCAATAAAATAAACCCAACACAATTGTTCCATTAATTTCAACATTATTATTATTAATCAACTAATTAATTAATTAATAATCTAACAACTTATATCAACAATTCTCAACATCTCACAACATTTCAACAAATAATCCAAAAATAATTTAATTAAATAATTAATTAAATTAACGGGCGTTACAGTGGGCACGTGGAGAAATTCTCAACGGTTATTGATTTGGGCTATATGCCAATAGACTATAGCAAAAGCGATGGATTGGGTCTGCTCAATAGAGGGTCAAGTGCTGACCTAATCCAGAATAACATTTAAAATTGGATTGGCATCCATTTGGATATGTCCTTGGGAAGTTTGCAGATTTCTTTTTCTACTACGAGAAGGTGAAGATTAAGGTTAAGAAGATAATCGTCGTCGTGATTTGGATAGGAACAATTTAGAGTATTTGGTTGATGCGTAGTGTCATCATCTTTAAAGGAGTTGTTTTCAATTTCGATGAGTGTATGTCGGGATTTTCATAGGTCATGGACTTGGTTGTGTTAATTCGTTTTGAAAAATTGTTTATTGTTGTAACTTTTTCGTTTGAAATACTCTACCTCTCTTATATTTTAGGATGTGGACTTTCCCTGTTGTAGTTTCAGATGAAATATCCCTTATACTCTCTTTAGTTGAATCATTGCCTATTAAAAAATATTTAAAAAAATAATTCTACTTTGTCTCAAATACGCTTAATTGACATCATAAAGAAGTACATGTTTAAAAAAACACATTTAGCTATTTGATATAATTTGGTAAAATTAAATAAATAAAAAATATATATTTTGAATTAATATTAAATTGCAAAAAAAAAACAATGTAAAAACATTTATTTCAATTTAATGCTAGATTTTTACTTCGATTAAATGTATAAACAAAATTAAGTACTTAAAATAATTTTAACAAAACGTAGGATATATATCTTAAACTTAATTGTAATTTTAATCTCGTTATTTTGATTTTTTTTTGTTTTGATTCCTTTATTTTAAAATTAACTTTTATAAAATTTACAGGTTCAAACTCATGTTTTTAACGTCATTAATTTACTTACACATTCATGCCGATAATGATTATGTTTGATAGTTCATATTTTAGTAATTGTGTATGGATTTCTAATTTCAAAAACATGAGTAAATTTCTAATTTGATGGAAATTTAGTCACTAAAATAAATAATTATTGATTGTGAGAATGCGGAAAAAGGAAAATATGGCCAATTATACATATGTGATCGCTTTGTTGATGACGTGTAAAGTATTATACTAGTCATGAAAGAAAATTTTATTTTTCAGGGTGCGGGTGGCGAATGAACTTGGAGCAGGAAAAGCAAAATCAGCAAAATTTGCAATGCAAGTATCAGTGATACAATCAACAGTGATCGGATTAATCTTCTGTGTTCTCATAATTATATTTCAGAGACAGTTTGCATACATTTTTACCTCGAGTCCTTCTGTTCTTCAAGCTGTTAACGACATGTCAGTCCTCTTGGGAGTCACTATTCTTCTCAATAGTGTTCAACCTGTTCTATCAGGTAAAAAAATCAACCTAATTTAAGTTTTAACTATGGTTAATAATTGATTATAAAAATGCATGTATGTATGTAGGTGTAGCTGTTGGTTCAGGATGGCAAATATTTGTGGCATACATAAATATTGGATGTTACTATCTAATTGGACTCCCACTTGGAATTATCATGGGATGGGTTTTCAACACTGGTGTTGAAGTAAGTAATAATAATTCATTAGAAAATCACTTATATTATGTTTGAGCTTTGAATAATATCTTAATATATGGTCACATTAGGGCATATGGGGTGGGATGATATTTGGTGGTACATTAATTCAAACGTTGATACTCATCATAATAATAGTACGGTGTGATTGGAAAAAAGAGGTATACTTTATACACTTCAATTTAAACCTTGATTATGTTATGTAACTCATTAGTTTAATTTATTCTACGATATTAATTAATGTGTGTATTTGTTTTGATTGTATAAATTTGTGCAGGCAGATAAAGCTGGCTCACATGTAAACAAGTGGTCTATAATTAAACCTAATGACCAATTGGAGATCATTTATTAAGCTAATGTATTGGTTGTTTTTTATTTTATGAAATTGTTGTTTAAGTTAATTAAGCGGTTGGTGTTATGAATAAGACAATTATATATTCTTGAGTTAGACCATCAATAAGCATAGCTACTATAAAAAAGAGATGAATTCATTACTTCATAAGTAGCTTCTCTATAAAATTCTCCCAATATTATCTTTATTGTTCATGTGTAAGTTTGAGTGTAATTTTTTTCTACTTCGTCGTGTGATCTACTTTGTATGTTTTTTTTTGTTTTACATGGATTATTGGTGCATAAATGAAAGATGAAAGAAGAAAAGAAATATATTTAATGGCGGTTATAAAATAAGGAATAATGAATTACATTGACCTACTTATTATTAGGCTATTTATACACAAAATTAGGGTATAATAAAATATTAAAATACCCTCTAACAAATATATAAAAAGATATTCCTAGATATTCGTAAAATATAAATTATTACCAACATCATCCATTAATTTATATTTACACAAAACTGGTAACACCAATTTCATCCCTCAAACGAAGAAATTGATCAGTCTTGATAACCTTTGTTAGAACATCTGTCAGTTGCTTCTGGGTGCTACAATGCACAACTTCTAATATTTCACTCTGAACCTGATTCCTCAGAAGTGATACTTGGTCTCAGTATGCTTGCTTCTCCCATGCAGCATTGGGTTCTTGGCAAGATTGATTGTAGACTTGTTATCAATCATCAGCTTCAGAGGTTTATTTACCTCAATCTTCAAATCTTGCAGCAAGTTTAGAATCCACACAACTTGGCATGCAGTCAGAGCTTCTGCAATATATTTAGCTTTATAGGTTGACAGCGCAACAACCAATTGCTTCTTGGAACACCAAGAAATAGGACCTCTCATAAATTTGAATAATTACCCAGAAGTACTTCTTATGCCAGCTTTGTCTCCACACTAATCAGAGTCTGAATAACTTAGAAGTTCTGATTCGATCTTCCTACCAGAAGGAAATAACACTCCATACTTCAGAGTTCCCTCCACATACCTCAGAATCCTGACAACAACTTGGTAATGAGACCACTTTGCTAATCATTCCAACTGCATAGCAAATATCAGATCTGATATTACACAAATACCTCAGAGAACCAACCAACTATTGGAAGGTTGTAGCATCCACATCCTCTCCATCAGAATTAGAGTCCAACTTCTGATTCATATAAGCAGATGTGATAACAACTTTGCAATTTTCTAGCTTAAATCTCTTCAGAAGCTCAAGTTCATACTTCATCTGATGAAAAATGATTTCTTTCTTAGAGTACATAAACTCCATCCTTAGAAAGAAACTCATTTTCCCAAGATATGTCATCTCAAACGCATTCATCAAAACCTTCTTGAACTCAGCTATCTCTTGTTCAGAACTTCCTGTGAGCAATATTTCATCAACATACAAACATACCAGAATCATATTACCTTCTGAAGTATGCTGAACATAAACATCATACTCCATCTCACACTTCTGAAACCCCTGTCTCTTGAAAAATGAATCAATCTTCAGATTTCGGGCTCTGGGCGCTTGCTTCAATCCATACAAGGCTTTGTGTAATTTGAACACCGTCCCTTCCTGATTCTTTTTCTCAAATTCAGGAGGTTGTGACACGTATACCTCTTCTTGTAATGGACCATTCAGAAATGTAGATTTTACATCTAAATGCATCAGAGGCCAATTCCTGTTAGTAGCTATTGTAATCACTAGTCTGATTGTTTCATCTCTCGCTACAGGTGCAAACACTTCAGAGTAATCCAACCCATGCTTCTGTAGAAAGCCACTTGCTACTAATCTTGCTTTGGGTTTGCCAATTGATCCATCTTCCTTTATCTTCTGCTTGAAAACTCATCTGGCGCTGATGGCTTTCTTGCCTTTTGGAAGTTATGCACTACGCCAAAAAAGACCTATGAAAGTGCTTTTTTTGGCCTTTAAAAGCGCTTAAAAGCGCTTTCTAAGGTGGCGCTGCTAAAGGTTTTAGCAACGCTTTTTGTTTAATGAAAAGCGCTCTCATAGGTCTACTTATGACAACGCTTTTTCTAAAAAGCGCTCTCTTAAGTACCCTTATGGCAGCGTTTTTTCCAAAAAGCGCTCTCTTAAGTAGGCTTTTGGCAGCGCTTTTTCTAAAAAGCGCTCTCTTAAGTAGGCTTTTGGCAGTGCTTTTTTATGAAAAAACGCTTTCATTGGTGGCGCTTTTTTTGGAAAAAAGCTTCCATAGGTTGTCTTTTAGCAGCGCTTTTTCTTGGAAAAGCGCTGTCATAGGTCTACCTATGAAAGCGCTTTATGTGAAAAAGCGTTGTCATAGGTCTACCTATGAAAGCGCTTTTCTCCAAAAAACGCTTTCATAGGGTGTTTTTTTTAGAGGTATTATTTATATCATTCATATACCTGCATTGTTTGCCATAACCTGTAATTCATAAATAGCGGTAATGCATTGTAATTCCGATACCCCGTTCTCGTACTCTTTCGACAATCGATTGGAATACAACCGTGTCTTATCCATGGTTTACGGTTTCTGAGTCAAAACCAATACTCAATATAACAAAACCAATACTCAATACTTTTCACTAAATTCATTTTATTCTATCAACTACTTTAGTACACAAGTATAACACAAGAAACCATAAACAAGAAACTATCATTGCTCAAAATCAATCATAAATTATGTTTGTATCTCAAATTATATATAAACCATTGTTATCTGTATTCTAACTCAAAGTCAGTATTACAAAATCAACTCTAACAACAACTAAACCAGTCCTTATATTATTCTCTGCTCAATAAAATATTGACACAACTCCTCTTTGGTTTCTTCCAACTGAAGTTTCGTGTAATATGCACATTTGTACTCATCGAAGTACTACATAAGAAAACATAATATGCATGATTTAGTTAAAAGTAAAAAATTATATGGAATATCCGAGAAATAATAAAACAAATTCTAAGTTATAAATTCATACCGTGATTGGAATCTCTATTTGATTCAGTTGAATGATTTCTTTGATAAACCGCATAACGAAGTATCCACAATCTATACCGTTTTGTTGTTGAGGACACTACATAGAAAAACAAATAAGAATATATAGTTGTATTGTTTTATCAAATAGCGTAAATATTATAATCAAAATAGTGGAAATTAATATACCTGCACTTTGATCCAATTAATGTTGTTTGATTTAGACCGTCGTACCCGAGCTTCTCTTTGACACCGGAATACTTGTATCGCTCTAACAAAATTAAAAATATATATTTAGAACAATGTCACAGAAATAATTAAATACATAAATACACATAAATATTTAGAATAATCTCACTTACGTATCAATCATTAACTTCATATCCGGATAATTTGTCCAATCACCGTCAACCGAATTCAGATAATAGACCACTTCTTTTATAGGATCGATAGCAACCAACAACCAGTGACGTCTATAAATTAAAACAACAGTTTAGAAGAAATTTTTCTACGCAAAAATTACAAATATTAAAATGAATTTAGAATGAAAATCTAACCCTGTAGGAATAGTATTATACGCCCAAAGATATAAGCTTTCTGTACTGCCAGTTGCCATGAATCTTTCGACTAAGTGCTCTCTTACTGAATCCGGTTCCCTACCAATTGTCGCTCCGCTGACACGGGAGGAAGACACAAAATGGAATCTGTTTGACAATTGATTCCCGCGCATCAATTTGTCATATAACAGCCTTAAATAGAAACATAATTAATATTAGAGTATATTCATTGAAAATGTTTAAAAAAGATTTCAGCTAATTACATAATATAAAGATGGGGTTACCGGATGTATGCGTGCATAATACTGACGCCCAATTCTTTATGACAGAAAATTTGTTCCACGTCCTCATGTCCAATTATTTCTGTGCAAGGAAAACCAAAAATACCTTGATCCATATCAATTTGACGAATACCACCATCCATCAAATTTGTTGTTCCCACTATTGTTTCCAGACACTGCCGGTATCGAGGGAAAAATCTAGTAGGCACCCTTTTCTTGGGTGGTACGCCAACGATTTTCTGGCTCACTTGTTGTGACCCATGAAAAGGTACCTAAAAATCATATAAACTCGGTTAAATTATAAAATTATGCAGTTTTTTATTCGGATCATATAATTAACACTTTAAACGTACCTCTTTTGGTGATACATCAGACTCGTCGTGCAGCAAAATCCCTTTACCCTTAGATGCGGGTGTTGTAGGAGTCTATAATTACCGTGGAAATAACTGAGGTCAGAACTGACAGTTGAAGACTTAAAGATTCATAATTGTTTTCAACATACCTGATCATCTATGAAAATGAGGTCGGATGACCATGCAACAAAAGATCCAATTGCATCTCGCAACAATGTGGTCTCAGCAACAATGTCAGGTACCGGCAGCAATGCATCCATATCTAAAGCAATGTCAACCGATACTTTCATGTGACCATCCGGAAGCGGTATATTATGAAGTAAATCTCCCGAACTGTTATGGACTTTTCCCTTGCCAACTAGTCGATAAGTCGGTGACGATAGGTAGAGCTGGCAAGATGAAATGCCCTAAACCAATAATAACCGTTAGAAGTGACTAAAAATATTCTATAGTAATAACGGATATATATTGAAAATTACCTCGGGAAATTTATGCTGAAAGTTGATACTAGCTTTGTCACTAGTTTCTTTCAAGTGTGAACTGCTCTTTTCCGCCATATATCTCTCTTTATCCTTCTGCAATTCACGAACTTGAGCTTGTAAATCCTGCAATGTTTGCATCACTTCTGCATTGCTAGGATTTCTTCTCCTTGGATGCTTATACAAAGAGGTTGGAGTCACACCATGACCTTTACCCCTCACCTGACCCGGATACTCAGCAATATTTAGTGCTCGACTAAGTACGCTCCTGGTATCGTGAGGATCCTCACCTAGGGATACCGATTGGGACAAGGTCTCCTGTAATTCAATTACATATAAAAAATTATT